GTCAATGGTAATTGTACCATACAGCATTGAAAATGGCACAACAAATATAGGCTTATTTTTGAAAATATTTTTGAAATATTTTATTGTAACAATGTATGTGAAAAACTTTTACTGTAACTATTTTTAATGGTGTTTTGGTGTGTTACTGGGGTATTTTAAAATTGCATAAAACCTTACAACCACCCACTACCACTTTCCCCCTTCCTCCTCTTCCCTGCTCTCTCCTCTCTCCTTCCCTTGCCAGCACCGCCTCCCTCCTATTTCTTCTTCTCCTCCTTTCTCTCTCTCTTTCTTCTTTCTCCCCTCCCCTCTCCCTCTCTTTCTCTCTCTTTCTCCTTCCTCCCCTTTAGACCCACCCGGAGATTGCTGATGCAATCGGGATCTGGTTGCGACTGGAAGGTTGGTTACTAGCCACACTCAGAAGGTCACAGTTGAAGCTGTTGCTGGGTCTTGAGGAAGGGGAGGAGAGGGGAGGGGAGGGAAGAGGAAGGAGAAGGAGAGGGAGAGGAGGGAGAAGGGGAGAAAGAAGGCCTTCCGGGAGTGGCACTGGAGGAGGTGACAGTGATGTTAAAGAAAGGAAGTGGGAGTGGTAGGTTGTGGTGATAGGTGGTAGTGATTGGAGGAAGAAGAAAAGATAATAGAATTTAGGGAAAATCACCATTTTCGTCCCTAAACTTTTACACTAAAACCAATTTCGTCCTTTATGATTTTTTTTAGCCAATTTAGTCTTTCGACTATTTTGAAGTCTCCAATGTAGGACTTTTACGGCGGCGACACTACATTTTACATATTCCGTACAACCGGTGATGGGTATATCTGTCCTTTTAAATTAGATGGACCTTTGACCATAGTTCTCGATGCTAAGCCCCAGTCTCAACATCCTATGGATTCTTGAACCAAACTGGTTTGGATCATCAAGGCTGAAACCAGAGGTCAACAAAGTAGTCTCATAAAGTAGCAGCACCAAGTCTCTAACTAATTTGTCATTCTTATCTTCTCGACTCTCTTCCTAAGCTCCTTAATGATTCCATTGTCTGGATTGATCTCCATTGTTTTCTTGCTTGACATGTAAGCGCTCATACTGGTGTCCCTTAATGCTTGAGCCTTCATAATCCTTTCCATGTTTGCTGTCTAGCCATATTCCCCAATGACCAAGCAGCAAGGAGAATCAACCACCCTGTCAGAAACCACCACTTTCTCAACTCTCTCTCCAAGAATATCCTTCATTACTTTACAAAGATTCTCAAATGACTTTTTCCTCTCCTTCCTTGTTGCTTTCTCGTCCTCAGACTCATCGAGCTTTAAACCTTCCTTTGTTGCAGAAATAAGTTTTTTACCATCATACTCTTTCAACTGTGCAACAGCATATTCATCAATGGCATCGACCATGAAAAACACCTTGTATCCTTTCCTTTTAAGCTTTTCCAAGAATGGAGAGTTCTCAACAGCTTTCTTGCTCTCGCCGGTTATATAATATATGTCCTTCTGCCCTTCCTTCATCCTTGTAACATACTCCTTCAAGTTGACCAACTCATCCCCACTCTTTGTGGAGTAATACCTGAGAAGATCAGAAAGCTTTGCCCTGTTTTGGCTGTCTTCATGAACACCCAATTTGATATTTTTGGAGAAGGTGTCATAGAACTTAGCATAATCCTCTTTGTTCTCTGCAATTTCAAAGAACATCTCAATGCACTTCTTGACAATATTCTTCCGGATGACCTTCAAGATTTTGTTCTGTTGGAGTGTCTCACGAGATATATTTAGTGGGAGATCATCCGAATCCATCACGCCTTTAATGAATCTAAGGTATTCAGGAATGAGTTCCTCACAATTATCCATGATGAACACCCTCCTGACATAGAGCTTGATGTTGTTCAACTTCTTCCGTGTATCAAAGAGATCAAAGGGTGCCCTCCTTGGAACAAACAGAATAGCTTTGAACTCTAGCTGTCCTTCAACAGAAAAGTGTTTCACAGCAAGATGATCCTCCCAATCATTTGTCAGGCTCTTGTAAAAGGCAGCATACTCCTCCTTGGTAACCTCTTCAGGCTTCCGAAGCCAAATAGGTTTCTGCTTGTTAATTTGCTGCCATTCATTTGTCACCTCCTTTATCTTCTTCTTCTTCTTTTTATCCTTGTCTTTCTCCTCATCTACTTCTTCAACTTCTCCTTCCTCATCCTTCTTGGTTTCCTCCTCTTCATCATCTTGCTCTTTTTCTCAGTTGTCTTCTCAACTTCATCCTAGTGGTTCTCCACTGACATCCCTCGTCACAGTAAAGGATCCACCTACTTGAGATTCCTAGACATATTGTTTATCATCATTGTGCTTGGTCGTCACAACAACCTTCTCAACAACGAGGTAGGCCGAGTAGAAACCCACACCAAACTGCCCAATCATACTAACATCAGCTCCAGCCTGCAATGCCTCCATAAACTCCATAAGCCCTAGCCCGTTTGGAGGAGGATTTTGTTTCTTGATTTAAGTGTGTGAGAGAGAGTTTGTGCAAGTTTCCAATAAATCCAGATGAAATTTTCAATGAAATTCATCGGAGAAGAAGAACTATGGTCAAAGTCCGTCTAAATTAAAGAATCTAATTTAAAATAACAGATATACCTATCACTGGTTGTATAGAATATGTAAAATATGGTGTCGCCGCCGCAAAGGTCCTACATTGGAGACTTCAAAATAGTCGAAGGACTAAATTGGTTTTAAAAAATCATAAAGGACGAAATTGGTTTTAGTGTAAAAGTTTAGGGACGAAAATGGCGATTTTTCCTAGAATTATTTTAATTTTTAATTTTTTGTAAGTTGTTTTTGAAATATAATAAGGAGTGTTTTTTGTAGTGTTTTTGGAGTGTGTTACTATAGATTTGTATATGAAAAATCAATATTTGAAAAACACTCAAATCCAAACAGAGCCATAGATATTAGAAGAATAAACGTAAACATTCACACAATAATATATAAAAACACCACAAATTTTTGTACACAAATTTCAATGAAAGTAAATGTTTATTGTATTTTTATTATCATTGTATCAGTGTCTATATTTATTGTTTTAGTATTTGTACTGCATCATATAGTTGTAACTAAGTCCTTGATTCAAGTTGTACCGGTCAAAACAAGGCTTTCTCTTTTTAGGTGGTAAAAGATTCAACACAGGATATACCATGAGCCTTTTTCCTTTATTGTATTAAGGGAAAGAAGAATAATAAATTTTATATACACTGTCAGTATATACACTATCACGGTTGATTGATGACACATGAGTAAATTTTGAATTTCAAATTCAAATTTTGCACGTGTCATATATCTAATAGTAATAGTGTATACATTGTCAGTGTATATAAAATTTATAGCAAAAGATGTTGAGGGTCTACAAACACCAAAAAATACGCTTCATAAAGGTGAAAACTATCTCTACACATTATATAGTTTTCGTTTGTACAGCAAAAGATGAGCCAGTGTTCAGCAAAACCAAAAGCACATTAAAGAAAAAATGAGCATTGAGTTAAATTTTGTGATACACAATGTAAACACTTCTTTTGTGCTTGTTAAAAGAACTGGAAGCCAAATTCAAAATCTTAACTTGCCGTACAAGTTCCTAACCCCATTGAAAATGGATCAATCCCTATCTTGCAGGCTTGCGACAGGTGCTTAAAATCATTCCGCATTAATACATTGAAAGCATACGGACAAATGCTACGATCAAACATGCATCTGCAGTGTGCAATGTCGAGAAAATAACCGTCCTTCAAATTCTAAAGAAGGTTCAAACTACAACGTAAAATTTTGGTACAGGACTAATTTACGCCATAGATTACGGATATTTAAGATTTAAGCAAGTCCGAATGGCTAAAAATGACATTGCCTAACATGTCTGCTATGGATTACATGAAACAATACTTTTTTTGACAGCATGTTCTTCAAGTGTCCATCTGTATATTTCAAATGTGACTATCGAATATAAGCGGGAGGGGAGCTGGGCAGCTAGGCTCCCCCCACATTTATGGCTGGGAGATATTTTCCCTATTCAACATCAATGTAATGGTTAAAACAAAGATCGGATAATTATGTTAAATAACATGATTGTGTCCACATAAAATTATTCGGCCAATAGATCCAAATTCATCATATATTTAAGGGTTAATCACAATTAATCCCCTTAAGGTATACCCCATTTCTCACTTTATCCCCTAACTTTTAATTTTACTCACTTAACCCCCTATAGGACAAAATTACCCTTCCATTATTTTGACTTTTCATTTATCTTTTTTCCACTCTTTTATTTCTTTTTCTCTTTTGTCTTTCTTCTCTCTTTCATCCTTCCCAATAGAAAACTCCATCTCAACGGAAATTTTTATCTTGAATTTGTAATTGCATTTCTAGGTGAAAATTTAAAAGACATCAAAAACTAATTTTGATTTTTTTATGATGCCACATGTCACAATTTTCAATTGATGATTATTAATCAGGTCACAATTTCATCTTATGATATTTTCTTGAGAATAAAATGAGAAACTAGAAAGAAAAGAGGAAAAATCAAAATTAAAAGAATTGAAAGGCTAAAAAAATTGTATTTTAGGAAAGTGATTTGAATATTTTGTAATCATTTAAGGAGAAAATAGATCTCTGCAATTCCTCTTTTTTAATTTCAATCATTAAGATGAAGATTTTTTGTGGAAAAGAGGAAGAATTAAAGAAAGAAAAAAGAGGCAAAGAAAATAAAGGAGCACAACAGGGGAAAGGAAAAAATAAGAGAAAAAAAAGAGTTTATAATAATAGAGGGATAATTTTGTCCAATGGGGGATAAAATGAGACAAAAAAATGGTTAGGGGTAAAGTGAGAAATGAGATATACTTTAAGGAGATTAATTGTGATTAACCCTATATTTAAGCTATTCAAAGTTGCACGGAATAGACAATTACAATTTTAAGACTTATATTTAATTGAATAATTGGCCATACAAATATTGGGTTTGAATATTATAATGCACTTTCGAGGCTAGCATATGTTCACTTATTTAACATTCACTAATAGTTGATGGATATTGTGAGTGACTAACACTAAATCAAATGACATGTAAGTGTAACCATCAACAAGATGCATAACTCTACAATTAGTAATAGACTGACAGAGTATCCAAAATGGGGAATAAATAAAGTTTACATCGAGACTATGTTGTTGACAAAGGAGGCCAAATTAGTTGCTGCTCTAGATGTAGCCTCTTTGCCCATCAACTTCTCATTCAGTCCCAGAATTCTGCCATCCATCTCTATATCTTCAATCACCCTTTTCAGCCCTTCAGCTAAATCTCTCTGCCCAAACCCCCGGAGCCTTACTCCAATTCGCCAAGCCTTAACAATATAAGCACAATTTAGAAACTGATCGCCAGCAACCGGATAGCAGAGTAGGCGTTTCTTGCATTGTATGGCCTCCACGGTTGAGTTCCATCCGCAGTGTGTGAGATAGCATCCTACAGCCTCGTGCTGCAGCACTTCCATTTGCGGTGCCCACGAAACAATTTTACCTTGCCCGCCCTCTTTGGACATTCTCTCCACGAAACCTCTCGGCAAACCTTCACGCCATGCAGGCCCTAGAACCCAAAGGAAATGCCTGCCGGATGTCTCCAGTGCCACGGCTAGATTCTTCACCTTTGCCTCTCCAATTGGGCTCACCCAACTTCCAAATGAGATGTACACTACTGAAGCAACAGCTTGTTTGTCTAGCCAATCTAAGCAACTCAAATCTTCCTCCCAGAAGCTAGCAACAGTCTTGGTCGACGTTCTTGAATGCATAGTATTACTTGTAGGTCGAATTGGGATAACATTTTGGACGTTGATCTGGCCTCCACGGCATTCCTCCGCAAAACTATTTACCAGAAGCCATTCAAGTGTCTTCGATCTGTCCATGGTCTTTGTCCAAAACTTGAACCTTGACGTTCTTCCAGCTGAAGTCCCAATTAACCATGGCAGTTCAGCTGCGCTTATTGAAGGTTGACCCGGGGAAACGCATATAGGAGTTTCTAACAAAGGACAACCTGCACAATCGATCATTTATTGGAGCACTTGTGAATAGGGTATCTTATCATTGGAATATAGTACTCTATTCCGAAATGGAACTACACAAATTAGCCCTTCTCCTCTATTTTTGGTCGGTGGGAAATCCAATCACCGACATCCCAAGTTTTACCAAGCTGTACTTATTACTACAAACATTGAATAAAATGTATAATACCCCCTATCAAAGATCAAGGGGAGCTTTAGCCTATTATACATATTTTGCATATCCTCTCAAACAGAAGACGTATCCATTTAAAAAACAAAATCCTTATATATGGCAGATCATGCTTTGACCAAAGACGTGTCAAATTTGTAAAGCATCCCATCAGAATCTTTCAGTCCAGTTGATTGTTTATGTCAACAAGAAAGAAGGGATGATCTGACTTTCATTATTAAAACCATATGATATGGCTGCAAAATGACGTGGACATCACAAATTTACTTACTAGACCTTTCCTCTTTTGGACCAACAAGATAAATGACCTCGCCGACAAGGTTTCTTAATTAGTCATGATTCACAAATAAAAGATTGCATTCCACTAATAATATTGTGATGGATTACCTGTTTCAGAAATGATGCCCGAGAGTAGCATGTGTGGAATGGCAGAAATCAATCTGTAAGTAGCCATCGTGGCTGGCCAAAAACCTGCTACTTTAACTCCACATCGACGGGCAACGTTGATAGCATATGATGCCAGTAGGTCAACTATCATACATGAAACCCTTCCTTCATCATGATCCTGTTCTTGTTCCCCATCAAGTTGTCGAACAAGCTTTTCTAGATGCAGCGGCATTATCTTCTCCATAGCCATCTCCATGGCGAAAAAGTCACGCGGTTTTCCTTCGTCTAGTCCGTCAGCCGGAATGGACTGACAAACAATCCCTTCCATACTATCTATCTGAGCAGAGATGCTGCGGTGGATAAACTCAGGGACAACCAGCACAGGCTCTAAACCATGGGAAACGAGTTCACAAGCCAGCTTGAGCATAGGAGTGACATGGCCTTGTGCTGGATATGGAACTAAAATCACCTTGCCCCCCGCCCTCGTAAAGTACTTCATGCCTGCGTTTCCTCGTATTTCTTCTTAGTTAGTAGTTGATCTCGATCGGGTGAGAGACTGAACTACAAAGCAGTATCACACTAACTAGTACTACTACTTGGTATCCTGCTGGAAGGTTTAGCAAGTGCATAAATACGTTTAAATTTGTGGTGAGGCCATGAGGGTTCTAGCATATCTGTTCGATCGGATAAATACAGAAATTCATAGTGGAAGCTTCTTTTTTCGGCAAAAGTTACGAGACAAAAGGATGTATAATTGATTGGGTGAATGAATACCTAACGGGGAGGAAAACAAGACAAAGACAGGAGAAAGAAAAGAAAAGCATGTGGATGATAGATAATACAAGACCATTTGATTCTTTAATTTGTTCAACAACATGGAATATGGCCTAAGATCCAAGTTGCTGCATGTGGCCTACCATTACTAAGCTATATATTGGTTCCAATTGGTGCAAAAGGAAAAGGCTTTTTGATTGGAAATGATTGTTTTACTTTTGGGGTCCATGCGAAACGTGATGGATAGCGTTCATGTTTTCTTAATTCCCATAGATGAATAAAGGTTTTGTGGTTTGGCAAGTGCCAACGATCGAGTTGGGTTCTAGCACTCAACTTCAGCCGTACAGTCTTTTTAATTAATGGCATTGACAAATTCTATGTGATCATCATTCATATTCAACAATAATTATATTAATCATACTAGTACGCAATGAATTTTATAATACACTACTACATTTTCTGATATAGGCAAGCTGTCCTTGATCTTCGCCACAGGAGTATTGAAAACTGAAGATGTTATAACAGATGCAACAAAACAAGAGAACAATCAAGAATACTTAGAACAATTTTGGGGGAAATCAGATTTTATTAAGGTTTGGAACGAATCAGAATTTACAGAATGAATATAAGGTATATATATATAACCAAACAACCAAACGGACTGGATCCAAAAGTAGATCCAAAACCAAGATCCAACCGAAGACCCCCGAACAACTCACGGAAACGCAACATAATCGAATTGCCATAGGTCGAAGACCTGATTCAAGGCATCCCAACAGAAGAAGTTATCTGCGCATGAGAAAAATGTAACATGTCTCTTCCTTTTCTGCAGTTGTATTATTAACTTGATCTATATCCTTCATCAAAGTCCATTTCCTGGGGAGGAAAGAGCTGCCCAGAGGCTGCAGAGCGCCCAATTGATCCATCACATGCCTCTTTAATGCCACACGAAGTACTCCATCTAGAATTTTATATATATATATATATATACACACACACACACTAGGTTTTTTGGTAGCAGGTGTACAACTGCTAGCCTTCTAGATAAAGCAAAGATGCCAAAGCACCAGCATCGATCCGTGCATTAAGGTCCCTCTAAAGGAAAGAAATTTAATCCTTAGACATATATAATCAAGTGAAATAATCCCTGAACTTCTCTTCGTCGTATTAGTGAATATCTCAAACTCAGTAAAAGGTTTGAAAGATGCAACTAATCAAATGCTGGTTCGAAGTCAAAAAATCAAACAATTGTAATAAATTAATTAAAAAATCAATCACAAAAACATATATATAAAAAAGAGTGCAAAATTTAGCAACGAAATTGGGTGCGTGAAAGAGCAAGAGAGAGAGAGGGGGAGGGTTGACGTTTATGAATATGTTTTTTGATTGTCATTTATCAAGTTTGTTTAGCATATATAGATATTTATCCTGGGTATCATAAGTGAACTGTCCTAGTAATGGAGTTACGACATCATGGCCATGCAAATATCCATAGCCAACCAAAAGAATTAATTAACAGAGCAGTATCACAATGATGTCATTTGCAATTCTTAATTCACTTGTATAGCTCGTAGGGATGTAATCGAGCCGAGTCAAGCTCGAGTAGTGGCCATGCAAATATCCATAGCCAACCAAAAGAATTAATTAACAGAGCAGTATCACAATGATGTCATTTGCAATTCTTAATTCACTTGTATAGCTCGTAGGGATGTAATCGAGCCGAGTCAAGCTCGAGTAGTGCTATACTCGAGCTTGACTCGACTCATATATCCCTTGGCTCGAGCTCGATCGAGCCAAAAAAATTGATACTCGAAACTTGACTCGATGTACTCGCTCTAAACTCGAAACTCGACTCGATAAGACTCGACTCTTATCAAGCCTTATCAAGCCGAGTCTAATCAAGTTTTTTGACTCAACTCGACCAAAAACTGAGGCATTTTTTAGAAATTTTTTCTGTTTAGGTATTTTTATAATTATGTTATTACTTTTTTACCCTTATAAAATTTTATTATAAAGAAGAGTATATTGTAAATTCCGTATAACCTATACCCATAATAGTCATTTTATAATTATAATACATATATATTATTTAAATTATAAATATATTATTTAAATAGCCCGGCTCGACAAGCTACTCGACAAACCTCGAGCCAAAAATTTGAGACTCGAAACTCGACTCGAATGCCAATCGAGCTACTCAAAACTCGGCTCGAACTCGGTTTGACCGAGCTACTCGCGAGTAGCTCGGCTCGCGTACATCCCTAATAGCTCGTACGTTCAGATGAGTAAAAAGTATATCACGAAGATCCTGACATTTAACTCCCTCCTGTATTATACCTACCAATTCCATCTTGTCACGTAATTAAGCAAAATCCCACTTAATCTGTCTTATTAATTCACGCTACGAAGGTTCATTTTAAGTTAGATTGTATATTTTTCAAACGCAAACCCAATCATGTCAATTGATGTATCTTTGAGGAACCCTTCAATTATCCCACAATAAATGAAGAGTTTCAACAACATGTAGAGAATCAGATGATCAGCTGTGGACCTTAGAGGAGTCCAAGATGAAAAAAGATGGTCATTATGTACCTTGAAAGAATCAGAGGAGAAGTTGTTACAGAGTGATCGAGTGACAAATCCAACCAACCACGAAGCTGCAATACTATTTACTGCCAAAGGGAATTTTAAGAATGCACATACATATTTTCTTTACAAAATTAAGATCGAACCAGTGACAGGAATTAGAATGCCCTCTTGACACTAATATCTTATGTGTAAAAAAATATGAGTGGCCAGATTTAGAAAATAAGTAATAGTAGTATCTCCTATGTCGCTTGGCAACATCAATATTAAACTAACAGAAGTACGAAGACAAGCAATGAGCCAGTAAGTATATTCAGTATTAAAATATTCATCACGAATACAATTCTAGAATAACTATATATGGTTAATCATACCAACAAATATAAGAGGCTGCTAGGAACAATCACCAAACTAATATAAAAAGAACTTAAAAAACCACTGTAATGATGCTTCAAATTTTCCATTTATCATGCTACAATTAATATGGATAAAGCTTTTTTCTTGGATTTGCAGAAACTCTCTATGAACATCTGTTTCGGAAGGACAGAGCCCCAAATGCTTGCACATTTTCGTTAGCAAGGGCCTGATGCAGCAAAAAGTTGAAAAAAATTGACAAAGATCACAATCTGATGCACCACTTCAACCTGTAATGAGAAGTGTAACATGTGTTCATTGTGGAACAACTTAGCAGCATCAAAAATTTTCTTACTCTGAAACATCAGCACCACTTTTCTCCTGCATTCGCATTTAATACGTAGATAAATCAAAGCAGTGTTGAAGAATTATATAACTACAAAAGAAGTATTAATCATTTCTTACCCTATTTAGAAATTCATCAGCAGCTTCTGCTGTTTTTTTCATTTCTCCACTCCCTGAGTTCTGGACTTCCTTTGCCATCCTGTCGGTGTATCCTGAAGAATTTTTGCATATCCTATTCTTGCTTCGAGCCTCGTTAAAAACTTTTCCTACAAAACAAGCAAGAGCAACATCAGGTTAACAGAGAAACTAAGCTAACCTCAGTAACCTCTTTGATCCATGTACAGATTTCATCACACATAAGTGCTTCAGGAAAGAGCAAAATGCCGGTTATTAAATGAATTGCAGCTTAAATTCCGTGTGAGTAACCATCATCTAAGGAATGCTGCAAGTGCATTTTTTTTAGTAGTGATGCTAAAGATGATGTTTACATCGACTACACACGAATTACTATCGACCATTCAAAGTATTTATCTTGGACACTTGGAGGTTGAATCTAGAGATATATAAATTATTTGATATTTTTTACAAGCACTATTTGATTCAAATTGATTATGCTTTTCCTGATGCTGTTGAAGTTCATATATTACTTGGAAGCAAGGAGCTATTGGCATTCTAGTCAAGTGGAACCCTATGGCAAATCTAGATCGGAATGATATATATGTAGAATTTCCCGTGAGCCATGTTTTTGCTGTGAAAGCATTGCATTCACTAGGTTATGTATCAACTAGATGTGAGTCATGCATGAGGACAGTCTTGTCTTGGCAACACGAGAGAGAAGAAAGGTGGTGGTGGGAGGATGCAAAGGCTAAGGAGTGTGGCCTGCATAATGGCAACCTGGAGGAGCATAGTTTAAACGGCCATGAAAATGGCAGTCCATGCAAACAGAAGCACAAATGCTGCTGGTACTATATTTGACACCAAGAGTGTTGTGATGTGAGCTTGAGAATTTGCTTAATTGGATGATATAAGAGAGTGCCTTTGCTTCTTGTACTTTATGCAAGTATATTTGCTAAATTGTTGGATAGGAAATGAAAGCCCAAAACCTAAACTGTACTGATATATAGATAGCTGTGTATTAACCATTTCCACCACTCAAATCCGGGCAAAGGCATGCGACTGCGTGGCAGCAGATTACCATACAGTGCATTAATTTGGATGAGGTCGAGGGAGTGCTTTTTTATGTCTCTTTGCTGTTTGGGATAGGAAATATTACCTTTTACCCCTATGATTTGGTGTTTTACCATATGACTTTCCTGTGATTTAAAAACTTATATATAACGCTCTTATAATTTGGGTTACAGTGTCACTCTTAGTTTTTCAGTTAAAACTAACAGTCAATAATAAAAGTTAAAGTCAAACTAATGAGCTGACAAATTTAGCCTTTCGTTATTATTTTTTTTTACGAAAGCTTCATCATCTGAAATGGCTTTACCTATCAATAAATCGTCTAAATTCATTCTAATCCCTCCCCCCTTTTTTTTTTTATAGATTAGTCTTAGTAGTGCAAGTGGTCCTACTAGCAACCGCATCATAAAGGGTGTACCTTGTTTCAGAAGAAATTTACCCCATGCCATGCAACTCATGCGCACACATTTATAAAAGAAAAAATCATTCAAAATGTCCGTCACATTTTATTAAATAAATTTTTTCATCATTCACTTTTAAAAGATTCATTTTACATTCCTTATAATTTCAAGTTAGCAAATTTTTGTTACAATTTAAGTTTTCAATCACTTTTTAGCATGAAATCACCATATGACCCACTTGCGGTCATTTTTTATGTATAAAAATGTCAAATCCTATTTCTTTTAGTGGAAAAATGGATATGAATCGGGTTAGATCTAACTTTTTTAGGGAAAAAATGAATATAATTTGGGTGAGATCTTATATTTTTGTATACGTAAAAATGAATACAAATCGGGTCACCTTTTTGTCCTTAAAAAAATGGTCATGTATAAGTCACATGATGGATTCAGGGTAAAAAATGATAAAAAAAAAAAAAAAAAAACTTAGGTTGAAACAAAATTTTATCAACTTAATTTTTGTAAGGAAGGTAAAGTTACCTAAAACCAATTCTAAAAACCTATTGAAAACCAGCTTTTACAAAAGACGTATTACAAAGTCTGATTTTGAATACATGTATATGAATAGAGGTGGCAATTTGTTCCGAGTCCCAATTAACTACCCATGCCTATAGGGACTTTGGGCGGGATGGGTATTGTAATTTAATATTGGGCTTAAAATAGGACAAATTCCAATTATACCCATTAATTGATGGAAAATTTTGGGAAATACTTGGGTACCCATTGGGCCCAAGTATCTCACCAAAAAATTTAATTTATTCAAAAATTATCTCTAATAGTTTTTCTAGTCATACCAGCAAATATAATCTAGCAGTTTTCCTAGTCATTATCCACAAGAATTTCCAGCATTTCAGTCAATTTAGACCTGCTATCCTTGGACAATGATGAGGATAAATATTCAACACCATAAGTGCCTTGGCCATCTTGATATCTATTGGAATATGGCTATATATCTATCTTTTCCTTTATTTGTTAATCCAATTTTTGGTGGGAATCCTGAGTATAAGGCACTTGGATGTTTATTTTCTTGTTAGCTATTTCCTTTGCCTTTTTGTTTTCCTGCTTTTGAGGAAGTGAAAATGTCAACTTCATATATGAATAAACCAAAATGTTCATTCTTTTGGTTTAATCCAGGGAGAATATATGTTCATTCTTACCAAAATGTCATGTCTTTTTTAAGCAATTATTGATCCATTCTAGAGTGTAAATCAATAATGTTATTCAGGCTCAGTGGACTAATTTGATTACCCAATGCTACTACTTGCTAATTCAAAGATCATTTTTTATGATAATATGATTTTGTCGGAAATTGCATTACATTCCCCATTTGATGAAAAAATGAATTCATGAAAATATAAATTCACAATAAGACTAATAGAAATTTAATAAATCAAAAATTTTAAAGTTATATAAAAAATAAAAAATGAATTAAAGGAAAAAACAATATGTAGAAAATAGATTTGAGAATTGGGCGGGATCAATCTAAACCCATCCCAAAGCGATCCCGTCCAAGTTTGTCCCAAAATACATATGGGTAAAGTTGGCCCCAAACCCATATGAAACAGTTTTATTTCAAACCCAAACAAATCCCGTCTATCCCGTCCATTTTGCAACCTCTACATATGAATCATCAACAGAATCTATTCCTATGACCAAAGGCATGCATGCTGAATCGAAAATTTGAAGATATCCTAAGATCCGTTGTGATTAATTATAATAGTGAGAGGAACTAGAGAACTTACAATGTGGTGAAACCTTCCAAAATCCACACGAAGCACAATTAAAATGTTAGAAATCACAAAACTTGAAAATGCTAGTGCGAAAAATGGGGGAATAATTTGTGTCTGCAACATGGAAGAAATCAATAATTGATGCATCATCAAAATGTCAATAAGTAAAATTTTTGCATAAGCAAATCGTATAGGAAAAGAAATTAAATAAGTCATACCTTGTTGATGTATCTACAAGTTCACAAACAAAAAGAGGAGCAATTGACTGCAAATTAATTTGCAGGAAATTCGTAATATATAAATGTCCAAAATTCTTATCTAATTAAACAATCTGATATTTTCTATCTAACAGTTTTTTAGTTCTCTTTTCTCCATTTTTAATGACTTTCACATCTTCTCCATACTCCTCATATAATATATTTCATCTTTTATATTAATTTGATTTAAAAATAAATATTGTTATTTTCATACCTAACAATTTTAATCTAATTAAATCATAGGTTCTATTTCTTTTTTGGATGAAAAGATGCAAGGGAAAAATTGTCAAATTAAACTTATTAACCATTCAGTTATAAATGATTATCAAATAGTATAAATAGGTTCAACATTAAAATTCAGACATTTATATATTTCTTTTTAGTGCTTAAAATTCAGCAAATTAATTGTTTCAGTACTCAGATTTCAGAATTCAGATACGGTTTCAGTAAACGGAACCTAAGTCATATATGAAAGAGAAAATCTAAAGAGATAATGATGAAAAATATAACTTTATTATATATACATATGATATCATCATTTAATATTTATTAACAAATTTAAAAGACCAATTGTAGTCCAAATAAAATTAAACACGAATATGGTTTTCAAATAGTAGAATAAAGTAATTGTTTATAAATAATATAGTATAATTCAAACTACATTTTAGATCTTATAAAGGTTCAAACTATGATGATAGTTTTTTAAAAAAAAATTGTTCAAATATTCCTCCCCCTTTATGCTTTACTACTCCCATAAAATGTAATGACGGAGTAAATAAGAATCATAAACAGTTTTGGTTGATTATGACTAGAGGTGGCAAATCAATCCACTTAACTAGATTTACCCATACCCGCCCATGAATAGATGGGTATGGATATCTTAAATTTTTGTATATGGGTATAAATGGGTTACCCAATAATACCCATTTATTAAATGGGTATTATTGGGTAACCCATCAAACCCAATTAACCCATTTAAAATTCTCTTCCCCCCAAGTCTCTTCTTTTCCCCTACCTTTTTTTTTCAAATTTTTCATTTTGTCATGATGTTAACATTATTATTATTATTATTATTATTATTATTATTATTATTATTTGTTGGTTTTATCTTATTATTTTATTTTTTCTTAGTTTGTTAACTTGCTCATTTTTTAGCATTACCAATTTATGATAAATTTTAGCCTATTTTCTTATCTTTATAAAATGAAATTTTAAATTTATATATGAAAAAATGTTAGGGGTTCAAAATTTTTGGATTAAGTTTTATATTAATTTTTATAGTACTTAATTCAAAATTTTATATTCGTATTATTCAATTATTAAATAATAGGTAATTTTGTAACATAGAGTATAAATGAAAAAAATTGGTAATTAAGTTTATTGAACATTATAAGTAAATATTTAAAACTAATGATGGGTACAAAGAGTGGTATAAATTGATAACTTAGTTTGCAAAAATGAATTTAAATGAGTTTGCAAAAAGTTAAAATAAATGAGTTATAAATGGGTAATTGGGTTACCCAATTCATTTTTTGACTTACCCATTTATACCCATCTAATTAAATGGGCATAAATGAGTTGACTCACTTATACCCATTACCCATTTTACCCAACCCAAACCCGCCCAAATCACCCATTTTGACACCTCTAATTATGACAGTTTTTCTACTAACATTTACAGAAAAAGTTATAATCTGCATAATGTTACTTGGTCTCAGAGGAAGTTGATGGAGTAAAATTGTACTTAAAGTGGAGAAAAGTTTGTCTTTTTTCTGTCGGGGGTGGGGGGAGGATGTAACAAAAAGTTTTGGTTGTGCGAAAGAAGGAGTTAAAGTAAACTTTTATAAAATCATACTAACCCAAATGCAATTTTTCAAAAGCTAGGGGGGCAACAGCCTCTGCTGGTTGCGTGTTTGGTTAGACTTTGAGCGTTTCGAAATGGTGTGCGTGGAAGTATAAGGCCTGATGACGGTCTTGCAGTTGAAGCCTTCCCACTTCCCTTCCCCGCAGCTACCTATTAGGCTATGACTTCTAAACTGCGTAATTTCTGATTGGATTGGCAGCAGCGTTAGCCTCTCCAGTTCCCCCAACAACCTATTACTACTGGCTTCTTCAATCCTCACCTCTTTGTATTGGTTGCTGTACTTCTTGGACGATTGTGGTGTTATCTGGTAGTCTATCTGGCGCCTGAGACCATCCCTGTTCGGCCCACCATAGAATTCTCAACGTAATGTAAGTATTATGTTGTTCAATGTCGCATGCCCTCCTCGCATTTCTAAGCATCAGCAGACCCACCCCTCACCCTTTAGTTTACACTTGATACTGCTAGCTTCTTTTCTCAAGCTTGTTCTTTTCTTCTTGCCCATTGCTGATTTAGTCTGTTGTGTTGTGTTGTTGCAAAATCTTAGCTGGATTGTTTTATTTATGCCGCATGTATCTTTTCTAATTTAGTCAATCCCCAGTTGATTACAATCGTGGATTTCCGGATTGATTCTTTTCTTGTCTTGGTTAATCGTCTTTCTAGAAGGTTTGATTTTTCTTTTTATTTAATTTTTCCCTTTTTTTTGCTAATTTATGTTGAAATTGATCTCTCTCTCTTTCTCTCTCTCTCTTTGGGGGTGATCAACTAGTACTTGTTTTAATAGTTGTATCTTTTAGTCCAGAGTTAATCAAGAAATTGTAAGTTGGGACATGGAAACGAGTGGTGGAGAAAAGTATGGAATTGCTGGTAGGGCAAGCGCCACCAGCTCTCTCTCAACCAGCTCCAGTTTGTACAGTTCCGGCGATGATAGTACAGAAGATGACCCTGCAATCGCTGCAGCCTTAGCAGAAGACGGAAATTCAGCCGACATTAATAATACTTATGGGCAGCAGCATAGGCTTGGCAGGAGGCTTTCCCATTTGGATTCAATCCCTGTATGATACTGAAACCCCCTTTTTCTTCTTCTTGCTTTCATGAAATTGAATTGATTTCTGTGTTCTTTGTGCTTGTTCTTATGCCTTACTCTTTTAATAACTCGAGCAACCGGTACTTCACTACTTGGTGGATTATCATGCTATGGTTTTTGGGCATGTTGACATCATCTGGTTGGCTGCCTGTCAATAAGCCATCTGACTGATCAATTTTAGCACAAAAAGTTATGTCTTCATTCATTTTGCTGCAACTTGCTAATTTCTGAAGCAAGATCAAAATACTTTCCTTTTGGGTTCATTACTTCTTCCAGTGGTATACCATTTCTTGTGGTCTTCCTCATATTCTCCAAAAAACTTGATGCCAGATCACATGAACAGTCTCTCAAGATTTCCAAATTTTCCTCACACAACGGACACACAGAGCCCCCCCCTCTCCCTCTCTCTCTCTCTCTCTCTATGATGTTATGAATCATTACTAGGATTGGCAGATGCAGATTTAAGATAGCTGCTGCTTGTGTCATGCCTACATCACTTCTTTTTTCAGGACGTGGACTGAGATGCTGTTCCTTATTCTTCCCAGGCCATATCATCAAGCATATTGGATACGTTCTTAAAATGTTTCAAACTTATAGGTTTCATTTTTGGTTTTTTTTGGCTTGTGCTGTAGGAAGGTCATCTATACACATGAAGTGATATCAGCAAGCTGACATAGTTAATTTTTCATGAAGTAGGATACATACAGATGCATGATGCATCTGTTTGATTAACAAAATATTGCGACTTTTAAGTCAGTGTTCTGATATCATATTGATAGATAACTGAATGTTTGAAGTGTATGTCCAGAAACTTGGAAGTAGTAGGCGGTTAATAGCAGTAGATGGGTTGTTGATGATGTAATTTTCCATGTGTTTGAAGTTTTGGTATTCTTTTATCTGATCACTGAGGTTACAAATAGTAGAAGTTGTTGTTGCCTGATTTCTTGCATTTTCAGGGCTTGTCTGTTGCATAGATTTTAAGAAGCTATACTTTGTGGCTTTGCTTCAGACCTTTTTCACAATCTGGCATTCTGTGATACGCATCTAAGTCCTCAGACAGACATCACGAGTTAATAAACTGTTTTGCATTATTTTTGTGTTCGAGACATGCAATAAGGTATTTGTAATGCTAAACCTTCTTGGAGACAATTAGTTGACTGCCACAGTCCATTTGCATCTTTTCCTACCATGGTTATATGAAACTTGTTAGTTTCCAAGCGTTTTCTCTCTCTCTCTCTTCATATGTCCTTGACTAGTGCGGATAAATGGTTTTGTTAGCTTTCTGAATCTTTTGAGAAGTAACAGTATATTGTTTCATCAGAAAAGGCATGCTAATAGTTTTTGAATCTTATGGTCTTCAGGAGAACTCCTGGAGAAGTTTCCAGTACTTCCACTGATAACAAGATTTCAAATTCCAGCCAAGTAATTGTTCCTATTAATCAAGACAATCTTGTGCAAGGTCATTCAATGAGACTCCTGAAGCAACTTAAAAAATCCAACTAGAATTATCACTAGCAGGGTCACCCTATGGTAAAAGAAAGCTTGTTTCTTTGAAGTTAAAGCTGAAAGTGATAGCCGTGTGAACCTCTAAGGAAAGAGCTAGAGCACAGTAATGTTCCTGGTTTTGCAGTTAGGTTGGTTCATAAATGTTGAACTTGAGAGCAACTGGTGATCTTGTCCGTAAAGTGTAAAATGTTTTAGTGATTCTTTAAAGATACATGTAAAACCGTAGAAGTATAAGTTGGATTTGAAGGACAAAGTTTGCATCCTTTTAGGTGATGGCCTCTACTTGAGATTATTTGCCTCACATGGTGTTATGCTACCATCAACCTGACACCGGCTTTTCACCTTTGCTGCTTCAATGGACAGAATTTATTTTATTTTTTATTATGATTCCCTGTTGATTGACTGACAAAGGTTTCTTTCTCAAGGTTTTTATAATTGCAAACTGATTTTTGGTTAAAAAATAGAAAAGAAAAATGAAAGGAATAAGAGCAAGAGCAGAAGCCAATATGCTCATGGTGTATATGTATCTTTAGATTGTTTCCATCATTAGCATGTAATTCTAAAGGGATCTGTGAAGTATGTAATTGGGAAGTAAGAAACTCCGAAGATTTTTACTTGACTGCAGCATTTACAGACGGTATTTTTCTGGTTGTGGAGCCAAGTTAGAACTTAGTTCCAAAATATATTTTGGGAGAGAAGCACTTGGAATACAATTGTTGAGTAGACATAGATGAGAGGTAAGCACTCGGAGTGTCCTGTATAGTTTAGAAATAGAGAGAGATTTAATTGTGGTAAAACAGGGGAAATTAAAATGAGAAAGGCTGCCCTACGGTAATGTAGCACCTCAATGAGAAAATTGAAGAGGGAAATGACCTAAATGATAAGGAAGACTGAAGCATCAAATTGTACAAGTGATAAGATTAGTGTCAAAGTTAAGGCTAGAAGTATTAGAAGAAAGTATAATGAGCTATTAAAATAATATAGTATATTGTTTGACATTAAAGTGTGGCTCTAAAGTTAAAGGAGTATAGAAAGGTAGGGTACAAGTAAATGATCTTTGATTCCAGAATGAAAATGCAATCAGTTAAAAGTCATCTTCAATAGATTCGAGGACTCTTTTGAATTTACCTTTCAACCCTTGTCCTATTTGCACGATATTGCTGCTGTTTAGATGGAACTGACATTATATTCTTGGCTTCTTGTCATCCCTTTCACTGCATACACTATAATTTTCTTTTATTGTCTGTTTGAAAGAATATTATATTGGCACCAAAATGACCTTTTTAAATATTGTACTTGCATACTTACAGATTCATTGTATTGGCAGCACACACCCCGGGTTAACAATGAAATACCTGATGCAAATGATGCAACATTTGATCATGAGAGGCTTTCTGAAAGGTTATTTTTTGTCACTAGATTTTCTTATAAAATACCTGGTGCAAATAATGCTAATTTTAGAGTCAGTTTTCATTTGTGCAGTGTTTATACAAGTTATTCATCAGTTTTTCCTGAAGCCATCTGCTGATGATAGCTCTGCAGATAGTATTGCCTTGCGTGATACTCTATGGACATGTGATTTAGAATTTTGTTGTTATATGTACTTCATGAATCAATTTCTTCCTTGTTAGGATCATTGAATGAACTAAGTGTCACAATAATAGCTTAGCATGAAGAAATTAACTGGATAGCCTTTCAGTGTACTCTATTAAATGGATAGCCTTTCAGTGTACTCTGAGGACGTGATTTTAGAAATCATTTCTTGTGCACCTAGTCAAGTCACATGTCATTTACAAGTTTGTTCATGTTTATGAGTTTTTCTTTGTTCTTCAAATGGACAGTGGTTCAGTGTTCCTTAGGAGCACAGTTCGCCATTCCAAATACTAATTTGTTGCCATGCCTTCTTAACTGCACAAAATTTTTTCTGTCTCCACTATCATCTTAACATTATTCAAGGTCCGTCCAGTGATTCCTTGAATGTGGTATATTAATTTAAGAAGCAAAAATTTATACCCTCCTATGGAAATATGCAGAATCAGTTTAAGAGCGTAGTCAAAGAATTCTTTCTGGCTGTTTTTTCCCACATTAAGTTTGAATTATGCATTTTATAAAATGTACCCCACAATGGGTTTATCTACTATTCAGGTTATCAACATATGGTCTAGCTGAATTGCAAATTGAGGGTGATGGAAATTGCCAGGTTAGTCCCTTTTACATGACAGGCTATTGATGGTGACGCTTGGGGTTCTCATGAGTGTTCGAAATATAATATGATTATGGCTGCATTTGCTTTTCTTTTTGAGATTTAAAATTTTTGCCTCGAACTTTTTTGGACAGTTTCGAGCTCTTGCAGATCAGTTATTTCGTAACCCAGATTATCATAAACATGTCAGGAAGCAGGTTGTCAAGCAGGTATTGTTTAGTGACTACCAATAGGATTTTCTTCTTCTTTACTCAATATAGTTAGTGCTCAGACACCTTTCTTGTGTTATTGTTCAATGATGTGATTGGTTGAGTGACCTTTTGCATAGACAATTTAGTCCATTGGCCTAAATTGAACTTTTAATATTTTAGTAACCATTCCGATTGTTCTAGTCTAATTTTAACACCTTCTATTTTATCTTAGGTAATCTTGATGAAATCTTGAACCTGGACAAAAGTTTGATAGAAATATCTTTGCAATACCTACCACTTGGAAATCAGCGATATGTTCCAACATGATATTGTATAAACAAACTCAAATGTTCGTAAAAGCAATAAACAAAAAAAACGAGTATGATTTCTTGGCACATTGTTATGGAAGTGTACAACGTACACATGGAGGCAGAATACAATATCTTACCATGCAAAAGAAATTACAATCAAGTTGCTCATAAAGATCTGTATTAACATGCATTAATGGTTTTTTTTTGTCTATTGAACATTGAAAATTGGCATTCTTCAGTAGATTTACAATAGGTATTACTACTAAATAGGTTGTTTTTATTTAGTAATGCCATAGGGGAATGCATCAAATGAATTCTGTTGATGTTTCAATTATTAGAATACCCTTGTTTACTGAAGGTATGATGCTTAAACCGTTCTTTAATCGAAAATCATGTAGTGTTCTTTTCATTGGAATGTATCATAGGTCCCTGTCTTGTAACAGATATAGATTTGAACCTTTGCATTGACTAGGTTTATAGTGCTTCATATGGTTCTCTAACAGATGAGTTACTTTTATTCAAAGTTGAGGGTCATTTCTGATGAAGAAAATTTTTAACATGGATCTTGTTTTATATGATGGATTATATGTAGTCTGCGGAATCTACTTGGATACCTAGGAATAATGGTCTTACAGTTCTATAGTTGGCTGTAGGATGCAATTCTGTTTCTGGAATAAACAACATTAGGAAGTGAATCATTCTTCATGGGGGAATGCTACTTTGAAGCACTAGCAATGCTTGACACTCAAATCTACAATTTTCCAAAGAAATGTAGAATACACTTGCCTGCGTTTGATGACCTAATGTAAAGGTCGTATCTGGTATTATATCGAAAGTACAAGTTTAAAATGATGGTCATATGTTGTTGGAAAGTCTTTTAACAGTGATCTAAGAACTGGATGGACAAGAATGAAAAATTCCTTATTGTACACCAAAGATCCCTGAACAATATTTACCCAAATAATCCAATTCTTATTTGAAATTTCAAAAGTAGTGTAAATTTTTTGAATTCTTCCTAGAGTAGAATTTCGGTATTTGAGAGGGCGACTTCAAAGTCACTCTTTTAGGTCACGATTTTGACTTTGAAGTCGCTGTTTGAGAAATGCTCCATTGAGACTGTTGACGTCTAAGTCAAGCCCCCTGAATCGCGTAAACGAGTAAATTTTTACATGTTCAATTCCTCAGCTGTGGTGATATGATGCCACTAAGCCTCATATTGGAAAGATACAAAGCAATTACTTGACAAAATTCCCACCCACTAACACCTTGGGGGAGGGGGAAGAAACTGCAGGCCAGTTGTTTAGCAGAATTTGGCCAGGGTCATGGCTAAGAAAGCTGAAAGAGAACACAGCAACACGAGTCGTCCTTGAAGTAAATTTTCTCCATGAACAGAGATGGAAAATGATGTTACTATGAATTCCAAGTGCAAGAAGTTTGAGACTACACATACACACAATTTCATTGGCACTTCATTTTCTTGCCCAAAGAGCACGTACGTGCAAGACCAAAAGTCACCACTTGCAAGTCATTGATTCAAATATGCTTAATTGTCTCATTGATTCAATTATTAGATGACAGCAAATCAGTAATTAAGCCTATCAATCTGAATGTGGAAATGTTGCAATTCCAAATGGTGGTTTACTATGAATTTCCAAGATGTGGCTCCACTGGTCTAAAAATGTTGCAATTCCAAATGGTGGTTTACTATGTATTTGGGTACTATGAATTTCCAAGAGGTGGCTCCACTGGTCCAAAGCTGAAAGAGAATACAGCTGGTGACTCTTGGTCATGCACGATGTATTCTTTTGGAACTAGTAATTTTTGAAGCACATGGACCTCCTTTTAATTTGAACATGGCAGTAGCTGAATTTTTATCTTCTTCAAATCTGCAAGAACTTCATGCACATTGCTTCTCTCCCTTGGAGATTCTGTTGTGCAATTCAAAGCCACTTTCATGATTGATGAAATGCAGTCCAACTTTTCATGATTGGGCTTCAGAAGATTGGCATCTACAACACGAACCAGTCCATCTGGCATAGAATCACTCACCCAACTCTTCAGGCTCAAATTTTCGCCAAACATTTTGTCATTGGGACTTTTTCTTGTAAAGACTTCCATAATCATGATTCCAAAACTGTAAACATCGCATTTTGTTGATACTTGTCCTTCCAGTCCATACTCTACAAGCAAAAAAAAACAGTAAGAATAACTACAAGGCAAAAAACCAGAGTAGCTATACTAGAAGAAGCTTTACCTGGAGCAAGATAGCCAAGTGTGGCTAATGTTTTGGTGTATGTAAAGCTGTCCTCATGCCCCAGCAACTTTGCAACACCAAAATCAGTCACATGGGCAACCATATCTTGATCAAGTAGGACATTACTGGCTTCACATCACAATGAACCACTGGTGTCGAAAGACCGTAGTGGAGATATTGCAGTGCACATGCCACATCAATCAATATGTCTAATCTCTGCTTGATTTCGAGAAAATAGTTATGGGAATACAACCATTTCTCAAGACTTCCGTTGGGCATAAACTCAAGCACTAATGCTTTGAAGTCTTCGTTTGAGCAGCTGCTAATGACTTTCGTCAGATTTCGATGACGAAGGCTACGCAATACTTCACATTCTGCATCGAAACTATTGAATGCTCCTTCTTGTTGCAGTTTAAACACTTTAACAGCAACAATCCTCCCATCATCAAGGGTGCCTTTATAAACTGATCCAAAACTTCCTGTGCCCAACAGATTGCTCTCATCATACCCGTCAGTTGCTTGCAAAAGTTTATAATACGAGATTCTTTCCTGTGTTGCTACTGACGGTAGAACTCCTTCACTGGCAACTTGTTCTTTCTTTGTGCGTCTGAAATACATGAATCCCAGGAATATGGCAAGCGCAACTGATATAAATGCTCCAAGTGCAACAGATATAGTTCTCCGCAGCTTTATGGTCCTCAATCGGCCACCTGAAATACCTGGGCATGTGGGAACGTGGAACCTAGGTGCTCCACAGAGTGCTTCATTTGAAATGAAGGATTCTCCAGTGAAGTTTGTAAAAGGGCCCTTGGACGGTATTTCGCCACTTAAATTGTTGTAAGACACATTGAAGTGTACAAGATACCGAAGGTTCTCCAATGACATTGGAATCGTACCTGTGAGATGATTGTGTGAAAGATCCAACAATTCCAAGCTCAAAGTCGTGCCAATTGACACTGGAATTGATCCTTCCAATCTGTTGTATGCCAATAAAAGGTTCTGCAAGTTCACCATATCACCGATGGAGCTAGGAATACCACCTGAAATCTCATTGATTGACAAATCAATCAAAATTGCTGCCTTTAAGTTCCTAATCTCGGGAGGTAAAGTTCCACTCAGGTAGTTTCTGGAGAGGTTAAGCACCAACAAGTCTTTCAGGTTCCATACAGTGATAGGCAGACTAGAGTTTAGTTTGTTGGAATCTAGGGAAAGAAATCTCAAAGAAGTAACATTTCCAATGCACTCTGGAATAGATCCCGAAATTTGATTTTCTCCAAAAACAATCCACCCAAGTTTTGCCAAACGCATAGATACTCAAGGGAGGTTTTGCTCACTTGTTGTCGTGAAGGTCTATCTGTTGAAGCTTTTCCAAGTTTTTTATGGTATTTGGCAGCATCCCACTTAACTGATTACTGTACAGACTTAAAGTGGTCAGGCTACTCAAATTGCCAATTTCATCTGGAATGCTGCCTCGTATGTTGCATTTGTATGCATAAAGCTGTTCAAGCAAAGTTGAAAGATTGCCAATAGAATTTGGAAGAAAACCAGTAATTGGATTGTCAGCCACTCCGAGTACTGTCAAATGTTTGCAATTTGCCAAGGAATTGATCCATCCCAACTGTGTATTGGATGAAGAGTAGTCACTCATTAAATTGTTGCCTGAAAGATCTAGGAATTCTAGGTGTCTTAGATCCCCAAAGTAATGTGGAATGGGACCAGTAAAATTGTTAACAGAAAGTTCTAATATTTTGAGTTTAGAACAATTTGAGATTGAATCTGGTATTGGTCCACCTAAATTGTTGCTGTTGAGTAAAAACTCTTCTACATTTGGGAGCCCATTATCCATCCTTGACGGAAGATTGCCTGAAAGTTGGTTTCCTGTAAGAGAGAGAATTCTTATCTGTGACAGATTAAATACCTGCATCGGAATGAAACCAGTTATGTTATTCAACGTCAAGTAGAGTTCTTCCAAATTGCATAGCTTGCTGATCTCTTGGGGTATTGCACCTACCAAATTGTGTTACCATCATTAGCACAACAAAATTCTATATGAAGACTTTTGAATGGTTCTAAATTAGCATCACCTAGTCTACCTGTTATGTGGTTGCCACCAACGCCAAGTATTTTTAGCACAGTTAAATTACCCATTTCTTTTGGAATTTCACCTGAAAAAAAAAGTATAATATATAGAGATGTTAAGGACGATTCACATATTCCATCTAAATTTGGAAGGGAATATAAAGAGTTCATTCCTTTAAAGAGTTTGCTCCTTAAAACTTTTATTAGGACAGTTACTTAAACTACTGTTTTTTTATTAGTGTGCGTGTATATATATATATTTATATATATTGCTTGGGGGCGGGGGGAATAATTCATATTATTTCGCTCATGCAGAAATAGGATGTTACCTTCTAAACTGTTCCTGTATAGATACAGCCGCTCAAGTGCCTTCAAAGTGCCAATTTCTCTTGGTATGAATCCAGTGAAGTGATTCACAGAAAGGCTCAGCACTTGAAGTTGTGAGCAGTTATATATGCTTGATGGTATTTGGCCATTTAACTTGTTCCGTGACAGGTCAATCCACTTGAGTCTCCGAAGATGGCGACACATATCATCTGGAACGCTACCAGATAAGCTATTACCCTGGAAGAAAATCAATTCCAGCGAGGAAATTTTGAAAATCTCTGTTGGAATACTTCCCTGGAGATAATTGAATGACAGACTTAACTTTTCTAGCGTAGAAACGTTAGCCAAGGAAGTTGAGATGAAGCCAGTGAAACTGTTGTTATTCAGAGACAACAGTCGAAGTTGATGTAAGGAACCAAACCACTCAGGAAACTCTCCATTGAGATTGTTGACATCTAAATCAAGCACTCTCAACCGGCGTAACCGAGCAAATTCATGCTGCAGTTCTCCATGGAAATTATTTCTGCTCAGGTTAAGGGAAACCAGAAATGACATATTTCCCAGCTGTGATGGTATGATGCCGCTAAGACTCATATTGGAAAGATCCAAGGCAATTACTCGACGGTGACGAGAGCCGCAAGTGACTCCTACCCACTGACATACAGGGGAAGAAACAGACCAGTTTTTCAACAGGATTTGATGAGGGCCCTGTGAGGTGATGCGAGCTCTCAACGCAAGAAGAGCATCTTGATCAGTGGTAATATTGGTTGTGGTCATGGCTGAGGAAGCTGAAACAAAATACAGCAAGAAGAGTCCCTGAAGGAAATGATTGAAAATTTTCTCCATGATTAAGTGAAATGGAGACGGCAAGTGATGTACCACTATTTTGATGGACCCAAATATTCAAGGTAAATGATCAAAGAGGCAAAGGGATTTTTCTATTGATCAAGCTAGATTCTGGCTACACACAATGAAAAGTACCACAGAGATTACTACTTATAAAAAGCCAAAATACAAACAAAGAGGCCACGGATTTGTACTATTTGACTGATATCTTTCGGCCCTTACACACATACACACACACACACATATATATATATATATATATATATATATATATATATATATCATGACCTGACTACTACTAGTACAACTTGGAATTGAACTCTACGTGGTCCCACTATATTAACCAAACAAAATACCAGTAACCAATTGCACTAGCTTGGCTTAATAATTTCATACATATTTTATGAACAGCTTCTGTCCTTTTGGCATTAATATTAAATTTGCTTACTGATTTACATTTCTGGGAATTTTCCCTTAGTCAAACCTGCCATCGTACCATGAATTCCATGTTTAAGAAGTTTGAGACCGCATATTCATACAATTGAATGTCATTTTCTATTTCTTGCCCTGTGAAAAAAATTAAACCAAGTTATATAAGCAAATTGTTTTTATTGATTGAAATGGGTCGCTATTTATCAAACACAAACCAACTTGTTTTGAATTAAGCGTTTAAGAAAGAATTTTGATCCTGCCATTGGTGCATTGGTTTATTGCTTTCTTCTTGGTTGGGAATACAGCAAGACAAGTACCTGAAGGAAATGGCAGCAAAGTTTTCTCCATGATTAAGTGCAGTAGAGATGGCAAATGGTGCACCACTATCTTGTTAACGCCTTCAGTCCTATGGGACTAATATTAATTTTCTTGCTGATTACATTTATGGGAGTTTTCTTTCACAAAACCTGGAATTGTACTATGAATTCCAAGTCTAAGAAGTTAACATTAGCACTCCGTTTTCTTGCACAAAGAATATGCAAAGTGTGTTTGGATAGTAGATTATTTTGGATAATTTTTTGAAAAAAATACTGTAATAATTTTTTGATGTGATATATATGAAATAAAAAAAATAATTAAAAAATATGTTGATGGTATAAGCAAATAAATTTAAATAAATACTAATTCACTATCCAAATTATTGACCAAAAGTCAAGCAAGTCAATGCTAAAACTACAACACTCGCACGCCTAGTTGAGTTCACATTCTTTGCAAATGCGGTCGTTGAATTCACATTCTGATCTTGACTCAAAATCAACGGAACACTTTGGCCCAGTAGAGTCACATCTTAGAATTTCAAGTCTTAAAAGTCCCTCTTATAAAACATAAGGAATCTTTAACAGTACCTCGGGACCTGTAGTTTTGAAGCAAAAGGCCATTTGTTTCGAGTTCTTTTTGTTTTGAGTTCTCTGATGCTCCCCTTCCATCAAATTGCAAAGCTACTAACTTGCATATTTAATTCTAAACAACTTAGTCACTGCAAGAAATTTACTTTTCATGACTCGTCACATAGTTGCAGGTCACAAGAAAACTTAAATCTTATGACATGAAACTAGTGGTAGTCATAAAAAAAAATACAATTTTAAGTCACAAATAATAAAAATGCCATTTAGTTATGGATCACAATTTATTTTTTGACTTGAGAGACCAATTATGATTATATAAATGATGACCTTCATTTTCAAGTTAGACAGTGGATCTGACCCAAGTCTATCGGTATGGTAGGTAGACCTCCAGAGCAACGCCGGCTAGAATTTTTCAGTGGAGCAGTTGGACCACGACCAATATCAACAGTCATGTCAACTACCAAGGCCCATGATCAGCCCAACTTCAAATTCCGGGTTAAACCTCCAATTTAATTAGTCTATTGGGCAGAATGGTGGCCCGATGATGTATTTCTTTATGTTTTGCTGCGCTTGCCCATGTAATGGGGGTAGTTATCGTGATATAAATTAGTTGTCGGTTAATTATCATTTTGTACATTATAATCGATGTTTTCCAACTTAATTAGAGAATTAAGTTGCACAAATGAATAAGTTCAGTCAGTATCAAAACGTAATTTTACTAATGATAGTACATCATCAGGGTGTTAATATTTACAGTAACGGGATTCTCGAATATACTCTCCCACAATATATATATCATCAGTGCATTCTCCTTGATGTTACTGTAACGTCCATCTGTTAAAGCTCCATAATCCTTGAATTTAGTCAGGAATTTATTCTTTCCAAAAAATGTGATGTACCTATCTACGGATATCCTACTCCCCTGATTAAAGTCCCTCACACCGATCTTCTCTCGCATCCGCATGCGAATCAGGTAAGCATATCATTGTGAATGTGCAGGTCCACTTTGGATCTGCGATTTCCCATGACCTCACCGAACACATCTTGAAACATGGGTTTACGCTGGTCATTGGGTTCACAGTCTAGCACGATAAAAAGGCCTAATATGCCATCAATTGTGCTACCACATTGGGTTGCAGTTCCATCATCTATTAAGGCAGGATTCCTGCCTATCAACACACTTCCATCGATGTTGATAGAAGTCACTTTGCACTTGTTGCCATATCTATGTCAGGATCCTTAATCCAGTTCCGGGAGCTTAATGTAATCGTGCCACACCGTATCACAGGACACGCCTTTGTCAGGGTCGAAGGTCTCATCCATAATGCCCGTCTGTCCAAAAGGGAGCTTCCTACCGCGCACGAACAGCCTCGCACGTCTTCGCAACATTGGCCCTGCACTCCCATTGCTAGCTGTGCTGCTGAACAACCTCCTTCTTCGAATCGTAGCAGAATATCGCTTCGCACTTAGACTCGCCATTTTTCGACACAACAACGAGCAAATGTGTCATCACACATTCCAATTTATATCACGTTATTTTAGTGCATAACCTTTATGTGAATCACCAATAGTTTCCGTCCTCTATTCAACTGTAGATTTCCTCTTCTCCAATGATAAAACCGTAATTTCGATACTCTATTGGGCCAATTTTGTTGGCCCAATTAATGTTTCAATAGTGAAAAGGTCCGACCCATGCTGCTTTGCATGGGGCCACAGTGCACATTGTGCATTGTGGAGGCCAACAAGTTCGCTTTGCTAACTATGGGCTTGTTTGGAAGTGAAGTTTTTGGTCAAGTTTTTTAGCTACTAGTTTTTTAATAACTTTTGCTACAGGAATCCCAAAAAACTTATCAAAGTTTTTTACTTACACACTTCAAAATAATACACAAAAACTTTCCCTTCAACTTTTCTTCTTTTTCCTCTCCCACCCAACCGGCCACCAACTCCACCACCGCTTCCGGCGCCGGTAACTATTCCGGCCAACTTTTGCCGCCTTCCTCTTCTTTTTTTTTTCTCTCCCTCCCCTCCCCCTTTGACCGATATGTTGGTTTCCAAAATCTCTTTTTTCTTTTTTTTTTTTATCCCTTCCCCCTCCCTCTGCCTTTCCCCACCACCTTTCCCCCCGTAGCTTGGGGAGAAGGAAAATTGAAAAAAAAAAATTACACTCGGCTGTTGCTGCTTATTCTGCCTGCAAGATAAGGAGAAGAGAGGGAGATGCAACATTGGAAAAAAAATAATTTTTGTTGCTGCAAAACTCATGTGCAAAACTCAGGTCGCGACAGAGGCAGAGGAAGAGGGAGGGGTGGTGGGGAAGCTTTTGCAGGCCCTATATTGAACAAATAGTAAAAAGCTAAGTTTTTTGTAACTTGCACTAATCTAACAAGCCATGAAAAGACACCTTATTTGGAAAGTCATTTTTTTTTCCAAAAAGTTCCTACGTTTTCTGGCCAACATGCTGCATGTGTGTTAGACGACGAAGTAAGCATAAAAACAGATGAGGGGTACGGTGGAGTTTACGAGAAAATGCATGCTATTATTAACTCTTTCTATATGGATGAGAGGTTGTTTAGGAAGTTATTAAATTCATATAGTAGGAGATGTAGGATAAGTGAAATAAATTCAGCTATTGCTTGTTTTTGTCACTTGAATTGGTAGTTACTTTCTTCGGAAAATGCATTTATCTCCGATGTCTTGAAGCATTTCAAGCATTCTATATAAATAGAAGTTGTTTCATTATCACCTTGACCGTTTATACTTACAACTGTCAAATTAGGCCACCCACAACTATTTCAGGCTTACATCCAAGGAGACACAGGCAATCGGACCCAAGATGAAATTCCACCTAAGAAGCATTCCTCCTACAATGGCCACGTACCGCATCTTTGCTCCTCGATTCTTGAAGTTCTGTCCTCGTCAGTATTACATTTAGTCAAATGTTGCATTTTCCATTTCTGACTTGCCAAATATTATTTTCGTTATCTTTCATAATTTGAAGGAGTGGTAAATATTATGTCAAATATTATTGCAAACATTACATATCCAAACGCACTCACTATTTTCAATGCCCGGTATAGTGTGTTGTTGAGTTGGTTATTGTCATGTTCTGCCAAGTGGACATGTTATGTTTTTGCCACGTATACACATTGCCTTAATTTATTTGATTAGATTTAAATTGTTTTATTTTTATTAATAACATTTAAGAATAAATTTTATATACACTGTCAGTATATACACTATCACGGTTGGATGGGTGACACGTAAACAAATTTTGAATTTCAAATTTAAATTTTACACATATGTCATATATTTAAAAGTAAACCTTATATACACTGATAGTGTATACATTTTCACCATTGGATACATGACATAAAAAGTGTATACACTACTAGTGTATAGAAAATTAATCCTATATTTAATAGTGATAGTGTATATACTAATAGTGTATATAAGATTAATTCAACAACTAATTCTAAACCTTTTTCATGTTTTAGGTGTACTATTTTTATTAACAACGATCAATCACGTACCCACTTTGTTACTGAATTTATGTTCTTAATGTTTTAATTTTGATCATATTTTACAATATTTACTATGTTTGTTAACAACAATCAATCACCACTTTTGTTATCCTTAATTTTTATACTTATATAAAGTAGGAAAGTTATATATGTTTACTTATGTTTATAATCAATCACCTTTCCTACCCTGAACATTTTCTATTATGTAGATTATAATTTCTTGATCTGTTAATAATATAAATTACAAACACCATATATAAATTTTAAAATAATTTGCTATTAATTGTTCAAAGTAGTTTTGAAAACTTTGTAATATCTTGATCAA